TAAAAAAAATTCCTGAACTGAAAGGGACCACAGTGGGTAAGAATAGACCCACAGTAATAACTATCAATGTGACAAATCATAACACTGGAGACACACACACACACACACACACACACACACACACACACACACACACACACACACACACCTGCCTGCTTCTGCTTAACTTCTTGCCTCTTATGACACTTCTGAGACACCCTTCTGTGCTTTAGCACAGGGCAAGGGCACGGTAAGGGAGCAAGTGCATAGCTTGTAGCTGCTTCGTAGTTCTTCAAAGAGCACAGAGCTACTGAAGAAAGAGAGCAGCAAACACATCCAAATACATATTGGGAACCAAGTATACAAGAATCCCATTCTATCCCACCTCCAAACACACACACCCTTGGCTTCCTTTCCTTGAGCCTGGAAGGGAAACTCGTACCAAAACAGTGACATCACACCGGTCAGTATTCCTAGACTCATCTTCCATTTCACCACTCCACAGTTCTGCACACACCATTCCTTCCGGCTCGGAGGCCTGGGGTAACACGGCTGGTACATTTGCTGGGGAACTGCCCTTCCTGTTCAAACCACCCCTTTCTCCCTATCGTCGCTGAACAGGACACTCATTCCAGGATGACTTGTTATTTATTGGTCTCAATCCATGACCCATCAAGCTTTTTTTGGAACCTAATGCAGCGCCTGCTGCAGACAAACACAAATACATGGCTCACCAGATGAATGCACACATGTACTACCAACACATTTAGAACTGTGTGCTATATGTGGGCTGGAGAGGAGGGGTTGCACAGTTTTCAAGCCTTTCTCCCTTGCTCTGCAGCTAGGGGGAATTAGGAAGCTTTCTGACAGTCTCAGTTCTCACCAGCCCTAGACCTGGATTCTTTTTGTGCAGGTGAGAACGTTCTGTGGGGCCTGCTAGTTCACCTCCTGCAGAACTGATACAGCTCTGGAATGCTGCCTTAGGCACAGCAAGTATTCAATGTTTACTTACTGTTTAAACTTTAGATATAAGGCTTTATATATTGAGCCAAGAAGTATGACAAAAGTACTGCTTCTAAGCACTGCTCTAATTTTCCCAATGAGCTCATTCTAGAAGCTTAAGCCAAATCTTCCCTTGATATCACATGTCTATTAACTCAGACATGGTTTATCACCTCATTCAGGCATCCTCACTAAGAAAGCACTGGGGCTAGAGATGGCCATATCCCTCCAATTCATGGCTGAGAGGCTCACCTTCCTCCAGACAACCAGTGCCTGAGGGACTGGGTAGAGAACAGTTCAGCACGACGGCCACTGAAGATGGCAGCCCAGCACCCCCTCTTCTCTAGCACCTGATTCTTGAGTCCTGCCAGCCCCTTCTGTGAAGCACACACTAATCCCCACACTGGAGAAAAGGAAATTGTCAACAGGATGTGGTGGCAATCAGGTCTGTGTTTGAAAACTGCCACTGTCACCACCCTATACTGCCTGGCCACTGGGGCACGTGGCAATTAACTCACTATCCCTGAGCAACTCTGGCTGGGATTAGTGGACAGGTCAGCACTGAGAACTCAGAGAAGACGGGCTAGGGAAGAAGCACGGCTACCCAAACGATACTGCAAAGAACATCTGGCCCCGCTCTGGATCGTCTCGGCCAGGCTGGTTTTCACCCTGCTCTCCACTCATCTTTAACTATAGACACACTGTTGCTGGCTACATAAGAGCTACCATTTATTTTATATACTATCTTTTTATATACTATCACACCAAAGCCTCAATACCACCTCACAGGGCAGTGGAACTCAGATTTTAGCTTACATCAGAATCTCCCTGGAACTTGTTAAAGTCTCATACCCACAATCTGCAGAGTGAGGTGTGAGAGCTTCATTTCTAATAAGCTCTCCTATGGAATAGCTTGACCCAAGTTGTATAACTGGTTAAAGAAAAACAAAGGATCCAGGGGGCCAGCAAAATGGCTGAACAAGTAAAGACACTTGTCACAAAAGTCTGTCAATGTGAGTTCTAGCCCCAGAAGCCAGGTAAAAGTAGAAGAGGTAGAAGAAGAGAACTAACATAACAATGCTGTCTTCTGACTTCTACACACACACACACACACACACACACACACACACACACACACACACACAAATAGTAATAATAATAAATAAATGTTTTCTTAAATCAGATCTAGTTAATAGTGAAATGGCTCAAAGGCTAAAGGCATCTGCTACCAAACCTGAAGACCTAAGTTTGAGCCTCAGGACCCACATGGTGGAAGGAAAGAACAAATTCTTGCAAGTTGTCCTCTGTTCTCCACATGCATGCTGTTGTGTGCACACATATACATACACACACAAACACACACACACACACACACACACACACACACACACACACACACTCATGTGCACACGCAATGTAAAAATATTTAAAAACAAAAGCAAATCCAAACATTGAACCTAAACCTGTCTGACTATATAATCAGCGCCCATAGCACACTACTATACGTGCAATGTATTTCCTTTCTTCCTCTATTGACTGGTAGTTCCCTAAAGGCAGACATCAGGGCTGGAGATGTAGCTCAGGGGTACATGTACAAGGTCAGCATGATCCACAGCACCTCAAGGAAATTTACTGGCTAATTAAAATAAAGGCAGGCGTCATACTTTAGAGTTTAGACCCCTCACCCCCTCGAAACTTAGTAGTCTTTAAACTCAGTAGGTGCCACATAAATATGGACTCCTACATATCCACATACTTCAAAGGCCACACACAATTCAAGCTCAATCATAGGCAAAGAATTTGCCAGACCAAATTTTAAATGCTACTCTCACGCACAACCTCAGCCCATGCTGTCACCATACTGGCTCATTCCATAAAACAGTTCTTGGCTCCCTAACATTTAGGGGCCCTAAGGACAAGATTTGCAGCTATTGCACCCTAGCTTATTTGCATGGTGACACTAATCATATCACTAATTGTCCATTTTCCATCTCCTAAAACATCTCTGAAACTCTAGCATCTAGTTTAACACCATGTCCCCAGAGCCCAGGCACTCTGCAACTGTTGGGTGAATAAATGAATGAATGAATGCACAGTTTTGAGCCCTGAGTTCTATTTTTTTAAATATCATAATGCACAATGAGCAGTTCTCAGGATGAATTCCAGGGCAGCCTAGAAAACAAAGACCAATTTTGTGTTTTCTCTTTCCTTTCCATCAGTCTTCTAAGACTCAGAACAGGCAATACTTAGGGTCACACATGATGAGACAACATCCTAGCTGAAAAAACTGTTCCTGGGCTCTGAGGCCAGCAGAGGCCATTTAGAGAAGAGGAAAGAACTCTGGGCCCCTCATCCTCCTGCTCTCTCTCACACACTCCACCCACTGCAGTCAAGGACTTTGGCTACAGGATAAAAGAGTCAGCTCAGATTCCAAGGTACAGATCTGGCAGCAGACACAGAAGCATCTCCCACCCTGCACCAGTTCTCAAAGAAAGGTTCAGAGAGGATGGTGACTCAGGTCCAGACTAAGTCCAACTGGAGCAGTACTAAGGATGAAAACAGCAGTAACTGCAAAAGGAAATTCATTATCAGGTATCTCTTTAAAATCGTGCTTTTTAAGTACAGGCTTCAATCCTATCCTCAGAAATCGGGCCCCACCGAATCCAGTGCTTACCCAAACTGAGGCAAACACAGCTTCTCCCCCTTCCCACCCACCCATCCACCACCCCACAACACTCACCATGACAGGCATTTCCTAGTCCCGGGGAGGGATCCTTGCTTCAACTCAGCCTGCAAAAGCCTCCTTTTCAAAGGGGCCTCTTAGCTTTCATCCTCTCTTCCCTAGCTAATAAACTATCCCCTACCACCATGTTGCCTTCACTGAGGCCTCCCCCACACCCAACCCCTGGCAGTCTGTAACACAACCTACAGTAGGCTGGCCCTATCCAATTAGTTTGAATTGCTTCATGCCAAGGAAATCGCTGCTTTTATTAAGAATAAAAGCACTCTAAGCAGGCGATGAGCTGTGAAAAGTATCAGTCTGGCATAATTATGAAGGTCGAGGTTAAGGTGAGCAGAGGAACACTCGAAGATTTCCCTAAAGCCTGGGGCATTAGTACAGATAGACAAATGAACACACACCGAGAGGATCGCCACGGCAGATCCAAACAGCACCCTCTCCAATTGAGAGAAAACTAAAGCAGGGCCACTCTTAAGTAATTCTTAAATAGAAACTAAAACAGGAGAAAGGAGGCCTAAGCGACTGAGTTCAAAACAACCTCATTCACTTCTTACGATTTTTATCTCAGCTACATCCTGGGGACCTGATTACAGCCGGGTGAAGAAACAAACCTCGTCAAACGACCAAAAAAAATGCATTCCCATCACCAGAAAGATCCTCTGTGGATACTTACTTAGAGAAATGGGAAAGCTGGGCAAAGGAAACCCTCTCTCTTTTTATGATCTCTTCCAATCCCCACCCTTCAGCCTCGGCATCAGAATCCAAAGTTTCAGGGAAATGGCAAGCCCACCACCACCCTGCATTTGATGTCATCTATACTTCACACATCCGTTTTCCCATCTGATCCGCATAAATCAGCCAAAGGAGGAGGTTTCTCCACTCTCCCCCCCCCCAACTAAAATAAAAGGCCACTGAGGTAAACAATTTGGGCAATACTGCCCCCCAAGCCCTGTCAATTCCCAGTCTGAGTTTTAAATCTCTCAAGGACAATGACTCGCAGGCAAAGTGCAGGGGAAGGGAGGGTCAGTTGGTCAAAACCCATTCATACAACTAGAAACCAGAGTCTTGCCACATCAGCACATGAATTTAATTCACCGCGCACTGGCTTCCCACGTACCTTCCGCCAGCACCTCGTCCACGGTGACCTGCTGCCGCCCGATGCCAAAGACCCTTCCGATGTAGCCACTGCCCAGGCCTGAGCTGCTGCCCCCTCCTCCGCTGGAGCCTGAGCCCAGGCCAGAGCTGCCCTGCTCCCGCCTGGAGTCGAAAAACTTCTTCATCTTTCCAATAGGAAACGCCAAGGCAAGATGCCGATGGTTTCTCGGTTCGTATTTGTTGAAAAGAAAAGAGATCTAAGGATTTCTTCTCGGGTTTCAGCTCGGAGCGGAGCCACGGGAATCCGGCCGTGGGGTGGGGGCTGAGGGACGGCGCCTGCAGGAACAGACTGTCAATCGCGCGACGGGGTCCCCTCCTCCTCGGAGAGCGATCGTTTAAGTTTAAACCTGTGATGACAGAGGCAGAGAGAGGATGAATCAGTAACACACTCCAGAGCCCAACTGCCGGGTCCTAGGGGAAGCAAAGGCCGTCATCCAGAGGAAACGCTGCGTGCATGTTCTTCAGGAAAGCCCTGGAAACGCACCGGCCCCCAGCCCGGACCCCCTCCCCGGGCCCCGGGCCCCGGACACCCACTAGCGGCAGCCCGGCGCCGAGCCCAG